GGTGGATGATTAGTTCTTGAACAGTTTCTTCTATATTAGTAACACACACCAATAGGTCCTCTACATATATCTGTCTTTTTTGTTTACTTCAGTGCTACCAGAAAGACAAATCTCATCTTTCTTAAGGCACACAGATGCCCTCTGGAAGAATGCAATGAGCATTCTGTTTTCACAACACAACGGTAAAACCTAAACACCCTTTTCAAAAGCTTTTGGGAAGCTTTGTAACAATGTTTAATTCCTTACCCCACCCATCTTACTTTAATTACCAAGAAAAACTGCATAGGAAAGAAAAACAACAAGCAGAATACTCACCCTTTGCTTTCCCACCCTGTCCACTGCTTCCTCACTTAACTGTGGTCATTAATCATTCCTAATGTAACAGTCTTGTTTTCAGGCTGGCCCAGCTGTTGGTAAAGATGCTCTAACCACACTTTGTCAAGTGGATCCCATCTCTTGCCAGCAGTTCTCAGTCCTCAAAGAGGATACCCTGCTCATAAAAGCCAAATCCCTGGTCAGAGTTGATACTTCACAGATCCAGTAAGAGCCTTTCTGAGAGAAATCCCACACTGTAGGACCTTATCAACCTTCTGTAGTCATGACTACAGAGAAAACTGCATTTTTAGGATTTTTCCAAACACCTTTATAAGGTAGGCTGCTTTGCTCAGAAGGTACAAATGTATCACCATTTTGGATTATTCAGAGAAGATGACTTTGGTTTTATACACAGATGGTGATGACTTCCTACTTTGAACAGACTGCAAAAACCAATGACACTGAACAGACAGACGCTTCATTTTCAGGCAAGTATCAAGAAGCCACATAAAGGAAAGAAACAGCACATCATATTTTGTTCTGTATCGCTTACACAGACGTCTCTACAAGGAATGCTTGCGACCAGGGAGAAGGTTAGAGACTTCTTCTGTTGCTCCCAGGAGTCTAGATTATACACTTTCCTCCCCCTTTGTCCTGGTTTCGGCTGGGATAGAGTTAATTTTCTTCCTGATAGCTGGTATAGTGCTGTGTTTTGGATTTGGGATGAAAAAATGTTGGTAACATACTGGTGTTTTTAGTTGTTCCTAAGCAGTCAAGGACTTTCCAGCTTCTCATACTGGCCTGCCAGAGAGGAGGCTGGGAGTGCATGGGAAGTTGGGAGGGAACACAGCCAGGACAACTGACCCCAGCTGCCCAAAGGAATATTCCACACTATATGGCATCATCCTCAACATATAAAGCTGGTGAAGAAGGAGGAAGTGGGGGAACATTCGGCGTTATGGTGTTTGTCTTCCCAAGTAACGGTTACAGGTGATGCAGCCCTGCTTCCCTGGAGATGGCTGAACACCTGCCTGCCCATGGGAAGCGATGAATTACTTCCTTGTTTTGCTTTGCTTGTGTGCATGGCTTTTGCTTTACCTATTAAACTGTCTTTATCTCAACCCATGAGTTTTCTCACTTTTACCGTTCTGATTCTCTCCCCCATCCCACCAGGGGGGAGTGAGTGAGCAGCTGCATAGGGCTTAGTTGCCGGCTGGGGTTAAACTACAACACACTTTAAAAAAAAAAATTAACCCTTGTTTCATCAAACAGTGAAATTCTATGCTAGCATGTCTACTAGAAGGCTTTTTTGCATTCAGGGAAAAAAACATGCATACACAACCCCTCTGTACCCCAAATATTTATCAGTTTCTGAAGAACAAGCAGGCACTTCACTCCCAGGTATACTCCCTAAGAATAGTTTTCTTCTCTTCTCAGTTTGAGTGATATATATCGCAATATAACAGGTATCCACTGGAATGCTTTCCTAACCCCAGCACATATGGGACACTCTCCTCTTTCAGCTCACATGAATATAGCACTAGAGAAGATATTCCCTGGCATTAAAAAAAAAGACAGTCCAGTCCTTGACTCACCATAGTAGGTGCTACACAATCACTTCTAGACAGTAACTTACCCCAAACAGCTATGTCTGACAGGTTCAAACACTGGAACCAGCAGATTCTTAAATGTTGGCCTTGCAAACAGTGCTTATTATATGTGCTCAGTAACCATGACACAACTACAGAGAAGGTAAACATTACTCAGAAGGACCCTACACAATCATAGCTGTAACTCTGAGCTGCAATTTTTGGTGTAGAAATCAAGAAAAACCTAGTATGAAAGATTTAACAGACATGACACTGGCATTTTCTTCCAAGTGAGAGTGTAGCATGCTAAAGACCTTCAGCTTCATTGATCACAAGCTCAACTCAATATGGCTACGAGACACTAGTGCTTTTGTCTCTCGAGAACATGCAGCCTCTTCATGACCATGTGCTTCCCCAGTCCATTAATTTAACTATTAGGCTTCTTTTAAGACCTAAAAGCAAAATAAAACCCCTTGGTTTTGCTTAGCCAAGGAGAAACTGTAAAGAATAATGAAGCCCACACGGGTTATGAGTTCACTTCTTCATCTCTCCAAGCTAGTAGATCACAAGACACAAGTTTTTAGGGTTAGCTTCTAAAAGATCTATAGTATCCTTCTTCAACCATTCCAGGAACATGATCCTGAATGTGAAGAATACAGATAAGAGACCAGTCCAAAACAGAACAGCTTCTCGGGTGGGCCTGTGGGAGATCTGGGGTCTCTCAAGAGAGAACTTGCTCAACAGCCCACAATGCTTTCTGTGGTGAACACAAGTATCACGTCCTGTTGTCCAACTAATAACAAGTATTTGAGGCTGAAAAAGCTGTTCAAAGTGATTAAGCATGCAATACTCTTGAGCAGTCACCAGATGTCACCACATCTCAGGAGACTGTTAGGGAAACTTGCAGGTCAAGTGATAGAAATAGAAACGAAGGTTTCCATCATACATACCCAGCTTGAGGTCCAAAGCAAGACTAGAAAAAGCAAGTCAGTGACCAAGAAGACGTCCCATCAAGCAACTTAATGCATGCATGTTTAGGAGTTAAAGGACCTGGACAGTATCTTCCAACCTTCTTATGTCAGCCACATCACTTCTGCTATCTTCTTTCTCACTTCCCACCTCAAGGCCTGTATCCTCATGCCTCAAACACCCATACAGGAACACTGCCTCTAGAAGCGATCACCAGACTCGCTTCCCAGGACTTCCACAGCTCTTGTGCAACCCAGATTTGCTCACCACAGTTTGAGGCTGGGTGGAACTGAAACTCTTCGTCATCACGCTCTTACACATACACAACAGCCTCCGTGCCAGAGGTTAATGCATCTTCTAAATTTGGTCTCTCAAAAAACTTCCTTATTTCTTGTGGATTTGGGCTCCAGCACTTGCATGCTGAACTGCCACTGGCAAGATCCTGGTTCTGCCTTTTGTACAAGGCAGGACCCAGACAAAGCATGTTCTGCCCAGAGGTAATGACCCAGCCTGCTGCTGACACGGACACTGTGCCAACATCAGCAATCTTACAGTCCATTCTCAAATGGCAGTGAAAGTGTCAGGAATAAACCAAATACAGATTTCTACAACATCACCCACTCTAAAGTTTAAAAAGAAATATATAAAAATTTTAGAGCCAACACAGGCACACGCTCTTCTTGGTCAAGAGGGATAGCAGTACCAGCCACAAAAATATCCATGCTTGATTTTCTCCAATTTAGTGGCCTCCCTATCTTTCTGACCCTTCTGCTGAAAACAGTAGTCAGTAGTCATCTAGACCCCTATCTAGCAGTACACAATAAAATGCCAAATATTTGGTCCGTTGGGCTATCACAGTGTCCACAAGTTCTAGTCATGTTCTATGTTCCTCATGCAGTAGACACACACACAAAAAGTAAAGAGTTGCTGTCCAAAAAGTCATGTTGCGATGTTACATCGCCTCTAGTGATGCCCACAAGGCAAAGTGGCTGCCCTATCTTCCCAGCAGCCATGCATGAATCAGTGACACTCAGACCAGTAGTGCCTAAACCTTCTCATTCTTTCCAGTACTGAGGAGGGCTAAACATCCCAGCTCCTTCCTCTCTGTCACAGCAGGCCTACAAGGCATGAGCAAGTGCTGCAGCCAATGTACGCATGCGCAGTAGGCTTCACATGTTCAAAAAAACATTGGCTCACTGAATGTCCACTACACAACACATTCACACAAGTTTGCTGACCCACACTGTTCCAGGGAGAGAAGCCCAGGAGCAGGCTGCTTTTACCAAATCAATATGTGCAGGCTACTCCAGACATCTTCCTTCCTAAGGGACTTTCAGATAATAAGGACACTGCCCAGTCTACAGAAAAAGAGGTAGCTAGAAGACAGGCCACAAAATGCAGTTTTTGGTAAACCATAGGCTTGACAACTCTGATTTACATTTTAATTCCCTTTGAATAGCACAGGGGGAACAAAGAATGGGTGCACAGGAAGAAAGAAAAAAGGACTGGGAGGCAAAGAAACAGACAGCCATGGTGGAAATTTAAGAAGTCCACTGATATAAAGGGATGTTGTCAACACAGGGCTTAAGGAGCCACATAGGCCTCAGTCCACCCCCCACCCCAAAAAACAAGAACAAAATCTGCTCTAGGTTGGAAACCCCCAAAAGTCATCTTTGTTTCAAACAACTGAATCCATACACAGGTAGCTATGACTCTGAGATAACACACAGGTGTTTTTAAGAGCCTGAAGCAAAACTAGAGACTGTGGTCCACTGTATATTAGAATGTAATATGGCATCTCTCATCAACCAGTGGTATAAGGCAAGCTGGCATGCTTGGAGCTGTACTGAATCCACAGTAGGCCGTTCAACTGCGGAGAATATTACTAGCACATTTCTAAACCAGTCCACCCACTGTTTAGAGGGCTGGGAATAATTATGAAAGACCAAAGAAAGTTAAGATTTAAAACCAAGGGGGCAGTGAAAAATATGGACAGAAATATGAACTTCAGTAAGAACCTCAGGATAGACAAAGCACACACTCCATTGGGGGGGGGGGGGGGGAAAAAAGGGTGGGGGGGGGGGGGGGGGGAAGTCCTTTAAAAATAGAGGAAGAACAATTGCTTACCTTTCAAAAGGGGCTGGAAAGTTGGAATTTCCTGCAGTTTTATGACATCTGGATCATTGCTGACATTCCGGGAGGACTGTGTTCCTGGGGCTACCACCACAATGTCATCCATTTTTGCTCGTTGCTTGGCTGGCGACGGAGATGCTGGAAGAATACAGGGCAGGGGGGAGGAACGATCACATTAATAAGCAGATTCTATCAGAATTTAACCTTAAGCCAATGTTACCATGTTTAACATAGTAAAGGTACATTTTCTATAGTGTGAACACGTCTCTGAGATCACTTAAGGCCGGTACTCTCCATTCATACCCTCTCTCTGTGAAGCTATTATGTTCAGCTGTTTTTTTTTTTTTAAATGAGGTTAACAGCTGATGAAGGACGTGTTGCCTTCTCACTCCAACGATAATCCAACACGCTTTTGTTTTAATGATGGAGGTAAAAACACCAAACACCGTGTATCCATCAGCGTCCCACTGCAGTAAGGCTCTTTTATATTATTAGATATCTTCACAGCAACGATTCGATACAACGGCTTAATCACAAGTACATTTGGGACGCTTGCTTCAGCGCTGTGCATTCCTTGCTACCACGCACCCGGCGACATTCAGGTGAAGCATCTGCGCCGCGGACACCCTCCTCCCTACCCTCCCCCGGAGCTCTGCACCCCGCTGCCTCCCTCCCGCGCCCCG